TCCTCCTTAGTGACATGCACCAGGGGTATATACAACGCGCGCAAGTCCAGTTGGGCAGAAAGATGAATTTCTCCTGCAGAAAAACGACGGGAAGTGAAAAGAGTCAAAGTTTCGGCACTCGCCTCGATGCTCATCGACATCCGGGGGGGGGCCTGCCAGGGGCGGAAGCTGCAGAAAAAAGAGACTCAGAGTGGTCTTCTTTTCTTCTTCTTTTCCCTGATTTCTGAGACATGGTACAGATATAATTTTTCCTTCTTTTTTTTCTTGTTCTTTTGCGAAGCCATGTTGATCATATTGTGGCTGGGCGACGATCAACCCCTGCAGGGCGTCTTAACGGGCGACGAGAAAGAGACGAGGTGAAATAGATTAAAAAGGAACCAGGGCAAGGATGACCAAAAAAAGAACCAACTCTCGTGGCAAAAATAAAGAAAACCAACTGCCTTCCTTGCTGGCTTGGTAAAGGCCAATGGGAAGATGATGGGGGAGAGGGGAACGCACCGACCATTGTTCTCGAAACTCAAGCGGTATGGGGGTGATTGTTGTTGGGTGGGCAAGGTGACGACCCCTGTTATTACAGAGAGACGGTAGTTGATCAACTTGGTGCTGGTGGTTACTGATTGGAAGATGCGAAGAAAGGAAGAAATAAGGAAGTGCGATGTCGGGTGGTGACAGGCCTTTGCAAAGCATCGACCGCAGCACGATTTTCTTCCTTGATACCGTCACATCGAGAATGGGCTCCCAGATGCTAGCGGCGTTGCCCTTGATGCAATCGGCAGTTTGCTTTCCTCGAACGGCTATAAACCAGCAACATGCATGGGCAGGTAAATCTGATGCCCGTGCCATGTTGGCGCAATACCGTTCATCATTGCCGACTTCGCAGCTCTACGTGGCACGGGATGCTCGGCGCGTTGAAGAAGAAACATGACCAACTCTTGACCAACAAAGTCGCCAGAAAATCTACATGGGTCATCCGGTCTCCCGCGCTGCCGGGCCCGGTGCCCTTGCCCTCCCCGCCGAGAAGGGGAATGAAGGCCCGGTGGCTGATGGGCCATGCCTGTGGGCTTTTGTCGGAGGGGCGAGAGCAATATAAAGTTTGATACGAGCAGCCAATCGTTAGTTGGTCGGACGCTCGCTGTACGTGGCGTCTCCCTGCCATACCCATGAAAATGTGACCAGGAAGGTTGTTATCCCAGGACAATCAATGTCTGTGCAGATGGCGTTTTTTACCAAGTCAATTTTGCCCTCAGTTCTTTTGCAGCGAACGGGCAGCCACAGAAGACTCGTGACCCCGTGATGAAGGCGCAACGTGACTGAACGAAAAAAAAAAAAAAGGAAAAAAAACAACACATACGATGGCGTGAGGAGGGCGCAATGAAGAGATTGCCTTTATGCGCAGATGACGCATTTGTCGACGGACGTCTTGTCTACTAGTCTCTGCCGAGAAGGCACATGGCATGACCACAGCTTTGTCCGTCGCCTTGCATCTTTCGGCAGATGTCAATCCAGAGCCCATCGTATTGGCGCGGCCCATGATGATCCAATCGGCGCGGGCCTATGAGAGAGCGGCAGCTTATTAGAGGAGGGGGGGGGGAAGCAACTGCAACGGCGCGGGCTCTCGGATGGCGGATCTGGACAGGGGAGGCCCCCCTTGCCCCCTGGGGGGAGGTGAGGGTGAAGAGAGGGGTGGTTTTGTTCGGGGAGGACAAGAGGCAAAAAGTGGAAATTGAGATGTGCTCCTGCTGGGTAGTTCAGGCGAAAAAAAAAAAAAAAAAAAAAAATGAGCCCCCGGGTTGCAGATACACGGACGATTCGGCAGAGGTGAGTGAGTAATAAGGGTCAGTGAGGTGAGTCTGTGAGAGAGTCATAGAACCTAGGGAGTGAGAGACGGAGGTAACCCAACCGTGCGCCGTCTGGGCGAGGGCAGGGATCTAACTAAGTATGTACCCATCTTTCCCCTGGGAAGAAGAAAATAAAAATGGTGGCTTTTTCCTGCAAATGTCTCAACACAAACGGTGAAGAAAAAAAAAAGAAGAAGAAGAGAGGCAAGGACACGGGTGGTGATTTCAGATGCATTGATGCCCGGGGGCCCGGAGGGGGGGGGGACGAAACGCAAAAGCAGGCTGCTAGGCTGGGCTGGGCTGGGCTGGGCTGACCTGCGAGCGCCGCAGTCGTCGGAATCACCCTGCAGATAGATAAGACGCGTCGATGCTGGGAAAGGCGGATGAAGCTTCCGCCTCCGCGGCTGATGCAGGATTCATTTTTTTTTTCTTTTGTTGATATCTTGCAGAATAATAAAATGGTGATGAGTATCATCATAAATTATGCTGGTATGTTTCTTGATCGTCGCTGCATCCTCGGCTGGCGCGGACGGAATGGAAAGCTACTTGTTGCCTGCTGATAGGCGTCCCGACGGAATCGATATGCCGTTCGTTGCGAGGAGGGAAGAAAGAGGGGTCAAACACGTCTTGCTTGCTCCTGTTGTCTCTTTGTAATCTGCACCGTCGTCTCCTCTTCTTCGGAGTGCCGGGCCGGCAGATGCAACTGTTCGGCGGCCCCGGCTTGCCTTTGCTTCTTCATCTCTCCCTCGTGTTGTCTGTCTTGTTGTCTCTCCCGGTCGGCGCGGCATGGTTGAGTACTGAATTGGTGATAATAGTACTCAGTAACCCCCAACCCCCGTAACCCAAGGCGACTGTGTGGGCTTTCCCTTACCCCTCCTCCTCCCTCCTCCCTCCTCCCTCCTCCTCCTCCTCCTCCTCCTCCTTATTTCATCATCTCCTCTCCCGTATCAGCGAAACCAACGAGTCCCCTTCGAAACGCACTGCGACCAGGCGTTCCCCAGAAAGTCCGCTTAGTGGGCGGACCAAATCTACAACAACCCAACCCGTTTCATGCACGTCGTAACCCGCACCCAAACCGTTTCCGAGTCCGAGTCCCCTCCCCTCCTCCCCGCGATATCTCATACACTTTCTCCAAAAAACTTGCAACTGCTATCGACTTATCAACATTGCCGTTGCAAAACATTGCCCAAATCGGGAAACGTCGCAAACGCCCCCTTATAGATTTCTTCAACGGGCAACTCGGACGCCGTCTCGCCATCAACCCACAATAGATGCTGTTTTAGTAATAGGCCCCAATGGAACTGGAAATGTCGTTCCGCAGTTTTTGCTACTACGCTGTTGCAAGTGACCAGAAATCAGCTAGTTGACTACAGTAGTTAGTTACCTAGCCAAGCTTCCCCAAGTAACACAGGCCTGAATTTAGGGTTTCCCCTCACGACCCCCTCCAAAACGGCTCCCCGCGGGGTCCTTTCATCGACGAACGAGCCTTGCTTTCCGAGACCTCCTCCCCCCAGATGTCCTTGTAAATATTAAAAAGAACGGACCAGACTACTCCCCGGATTTTCGCAAACCTCCTTCATCCAATTTTTCCTTCTCTTTCTCTTTTCCATCATCCCCCCCCCCTCCCCTTTGTTCTGCTCAGACAACTTTGCATCCTCCCGTCATGACCGCCACCACATCCCCGCATCCCCTCTCGGCCCTGTCCGCCGACGAGATTCGACGCGCCCGTGACGTCGTCCTCGGCCTGCACCCCGGCGCCGTCCTCGACTTTCGCGTCATCTACCTGCTCGAGCCGCCCAAGGCCGACGTCGTGCGCTTCCTTGACGCCGAGCACGCCGGCACCCTCACCGCCGATACCCCGCGCCCGCCGCGCCTCGCCCAGCTCAAGTACGACGTCATCGGCGGCGCCGGCAGCGATGTGCCGACCCAATACCACGAGTCCGTCGTCGACCTCGTCACCGGCAAGAGGACGGCCGACGAGGTGATTGACGCCAAGTTCCACGCCAGTCTGGGCCTGTACGTCCACCCTCATGTGACCTGGCCCTCATGCGCGTCAAAAAAAAAAAAAAGGCTAACCAACCAACCCAACCAAACAGTTTCGAGTTTGACAAGGTCGTCAACTGCGTCCAGGAATCCCCCGAGTTCAAGGAGAAGCTCAAGTCAGTCCGCCTGCCCGAGGGCTTCGAGCTGGTCGTCGAGCCCTGGCCGTACGGCGGGCCGGACGAGGCCGACGGCCAGACGCGCCTCTTCCAGGCGCTCTGCTTCGGCCGCGACGGCCGCACAGGCAACCCAGACGCCAACTTCTACGCCTACCCGCTGCCCTTCATCCCCATCGTCGACATCCGCACGATGAAGCTGGTCCGCATCGACCAGCCGGCCACCGGCGGCCTCGGCGACGCGCTCGTCGGCGTCACCAACGAGGTCGGCGTCCTCGACCACTGCCGGTCCGCCGAATACGTGCCGGAGCTGCTGCCGGGCGGCGTCCGCAAGGACCTGAAGCCGCTCACGGTGCTGCAGCCCGAGGGGCCGAGCTTCAGCATCACCGAGGACAACCTGGTGGAGTGGCAGAAGTGGCGCTTCCGCGTCACGTTCAACCCGCGCGAGGGCGCCGTCCTGCACGATGTCCGCTACGACGGCCGCAGCGTCCTGTACAGGCTCAGCATGAGCGACATGGTGCGTTTAGGAAAATCTTCAAAGCAAAACCGCCGCTGGCTTATGGTCGTGGTCTAACACTATCCCCCTTTTTGGCAGACTGTCCCGTATGCCGACCCCAGACCTCCCTTCCATCGCAAGCAGGCCTTTGACTTTGGCGACGGCGGTCTCGGCAACTGCGTCAACAACCTCACCCTCGGCTGTGACTGTCTCGGCGTCATCAAGGTATCCCGTTCTCCCCTCCCCTTTGCTTTATACTTCCCAGCTCACACTGCCCCTGCAGTACTTTGACGGCATCCTCACCAACCCCGACGGCTCCCCCGAGCCCACCAAGAACGTCGTCTGCCTGCACGAGCAGGACAACGGCATCAACTGGAAGCACACCAACTGGCGCACCGGCCGCGCCGTCGTCACCCGCCGCCGCGAGCTCGTCGTCCAGTACATCCTCACCCTCGCCAACTACGAGTACGTCTTCGCCTTCGTCCTCGACCAGGCCGCCGGCATCACCCTCGAGGCCCGCGCCACCGGCATCGTCTCCGTCGTCAACATGGACGTCGGCAAGACCGCCCCCTGGGGCAACGTCGTCAACCCGGGCGCCATCGCCCAGAACCACCAGCACATCTTCTGCCTGCGCATCGACCCGGCCGTCGACGGCCACGCCAACACCGTGGTGCAGGAGGAGAGCCTGCCCGTCGAGGTCGATCCGGCCACCAACCCCGCCGGCAACTTTTACAGGGTCGAGTCCACGGTGGTCGCCGAGTCGGCCGGCCTGGACCTCGACCCGTTCAGCAACCGCGTGTTCAAGATCCAGAATCGTAGTGTGAAGAACCCGGTGAGCGGCAAGCCGGTGGGGTACAAGGTGGCGGGCCCGCCGTCGCAGCTGCTGCTGGCTGCGCCGGGGAGCATCCAGGCGAACCGGGCGCACTTTGCGAGGCACCACCTCTGGGTCACCAAGCACCGCGACGACGAGCTGTACGCCGGCGGGCGCCACACGCTGCTCAGCCGCAACGAGGTCGGCGGGCTGCGCGACGCGGCCGACCGCAAGGACAGGGTCGAGGACGAGGACATTGTCGTCTGGAGCGTCTTTGGCCTGACGCACAACCCGCGCGTGGAAGACTGGCCCGTCATGTAAGTTTCTCCCCCCTCGTCTACCCCCCTTGCCCACCTTTTCTGGAACCACCGTGCTAACCGCAGAATAGGCCCGTGGAGATGATTCAGGTCCACATCACGCCGTCCGACTTCTTCACGGGCAACCCGGCCCTGGACGTCCCGTCGAGCGCAGACACCGGATCCAAGCTCACGGAGGGAGCGGGCTCGTCCTGCTGCACCACGGCCAACGGCACGAATGGCGTGAACGGAGCTAATGGGCACTAGCCAAGCTTGCCAGTCTGAATTTTAAAGATTAGCTAAATTTTCACGACTTGTATATAAGATTGAATGAACATGATGAACTGCCTTTTCATAAAACCCAGTAAAAACTGTCCAGCTGCGTGGGTAGAACCACAAGACTCCAAACATGATACAGTACATGAACCAGAAAACTCGACCATAGCGTATTCAACATAGATATCCAAACGCTCGATCCAACATAAGTACAATAATACATGAACAAGATACGCACCCGCAAGACATTCAGACGTGATACAATACATGAAGCAGACGCTCAACCAAAAAGGCCACCAACGTAAAACAGTAGCGCAGACGCGCCACATAAAATCCAACGTGCCGCACAAACGCCGCGCTTACATGAGTCCCTGAAGAAAAAGACGTGAAATGTCGCCGCCCTCACCATCCGTCTCCATCCCACCATAAACGCTCGGGTCGAAGCTGCCGCTGCTAAACATGGCGTCGTCGCCGAGCGAGTCAAACAGACTGAGAATATCCGGGTTCATACCTGGCAGCGGCTCCGCGTTGCCGCTTCCGCTAAGCACCTGGCCACCAGGCGCCGCCGGGTTGACGTTGTAATTCCACATATTATCCGCTCCCGCGGCCTGACTTGGTTGGCCCCCGCCCGAAACCTGCTGCCGCGCGTCGCCCGCATTGTACATTTGTCCATAAGGTCCTCTCCATCGCGCCTGGCCGGGATCAACGCCGGTTGCGACTGCTCCTCTACCGGGACCAACTTGCTGCTGCTGTGAATGTTGGTGTTGCTGCTGTTGGTGTTGCTGTTGTTGCTGCTGCTGCTCTTTGGTGTTCGCGCCGACACCCAAGCTCTTAAGACGCGGCGACAGCCCACGGATGCTCTTCCACAGGCGCTTGCTGGCCATACTATGACGACTGAAGCCCTTGACGAGACCGGCGGCGTCCATGAAGCTCTGCGTGCACGGCGCGGCGAAGAGGTGCGGTGCGTGGCACAGCGCAAGCGAGATGACGGCGAAAGCGCTCGCCAGGAAGTAGTTAAAGGCGTTTTGTTGGCGCGAGTAAATGTCCGACGTCGCATGTAGGTGCACCAGCACTTGCACCGTGTCGCGTGCGAGATCCACGGCTACGCGCGCGCGATCCGGGTCTGCCGCCACCGCCGCCGGGCTGATCAGATGATGTTGATAGATGGAGATGCGCGTTAGGTTGCCTCGGAGGTAGAGCAGCGCACGCAGCCGGTGCAGCACACGCGGCTGCTGTTGCTGCGTCCGCATGGTCGAAGTGTAGGGGCCTCCAGCGGCGTTGTTACCACTACCACCAGCCCCGTTGTTGCCACCGTTACCGTTGGCCGCGGCACCGCGCGGGTAGTGCCGCATCTGTAGGTGCGGCGGGATAGAGTCGAGCCACTCCTGCGCCGACGCGTCCAGCGCATAGGCAAGCTCGTGCGGGATCGACTGGTTCGGCGAGCCAAACGGTGGGATAGCTTCCCACAGCTTAGAGCACAGCCGAGCATACCCAACCATGCACTTAAGATAGGGCGAGTCGAGCTCCTAGAAGTGTATCAAGACGAGGACTAGTTAGCAAAGCAGGGGCCAGGGAAAGGTACGCGGTTGGCATGACATACGAGTTCCATCAAGGAAGGGTCAATGTCGCTGTCAACGAGGGCAAAGGAGAGGCTGGTGCCAAAGCTCCATCTCCGATCGAGAATGTAACAGCAGCAGAACACCCTGAGGGCCCTTTGACGTGATGCAGGATCAGAAAAGTTGTCGTAGAGACTTCTCTTGCGATGGAGGCCCATTTCCAGGGCCTCGCGGGCTGCGACGCCAATCGTGCGCCAGGCAAGGAGCTCGTCGTCGCTGTGAAAGTAGTAGATGCTCTGAGAAGGCGTCAGTAAGCACGGTAGAGAGCAGACAAACAAAACCTGGGCACGTACGAGAGAGATGAGAAGTTGGATGCCGCGCAGCGACACCTCGGTCTGGGAGATGCGCGCCGTGTGCTGCTCTATCGAGGCGGCAATGGCAACGCACAAGTCGTTCTTACCACGGGCCTCGGTTGCTACACCGACGGCGATGGCAACCTTGGCGAGGTCAATGTCGGTGACGGTGAGCGGACGGCCGGTGCTGGAGCCGGCGAGTGCCTCATCTTCAAGCAGCTCCGGCTGACGGAGGATGCGTAGAATCTGCTCGGAGCGTGCGGCCAGCTCGAGGATGTCAATATAAGGGTAGACGGACTCGACCTCTTCCTCAAAGACGCCCATGAGGCGGGCGGCCTCTGCTGGCGTGCATTGAGCCCAAAACTCGACGTCGGGGGGTGCCGTGGGCACGGCTAGGTCCGTAGACTGCCGCTGTTGGTGCTTCTGGAGCTGTTGCGGTGTTGGCGGCAGAGGGGGTTGGGCCTCGGGCGAGCTAGGCCCGCTACCAGAGGGTGATGAAGGCGAGTCCGGGATGCCCATGCGCGTGAGGGAGCGCTCGGCGATCATGAGGCCGTAAGCGGCGCGTGTGGGGCCGACAAACTGAGGATGCTTGGGGACGGCATCGCGAGTGACGCTGGACGGCGACCGGGTCGAGACCGGGTCGGTGCCAGCGGAGGTGATAAGGCCGGCAGCATGCGGCGAGCGGTGCTGGCGGAGCTCGAAGACGGCCTGTGAAAGATTGGCGAGCTCCTGGCGGACATGCGCCAACTCATCGCCAAGTATCTGAATCTGATTTCTACGTGTAGTGGTGGTGTCAGCATACATGGGCTACATTGGATAGGTACTGATAGTAGGTCTGTCTCAAAGCAGGGAGGGACTGGGACGGAGGCGGGGTTTCCGTATCAGAAGGGAGGTCAGGGGTAAAGAGGGCAGGGAGGAAGAGGAAAAGAAAAGCCGCTTACCCTTCGTCTCGCTTCTTGTCTCCCTTGGGGGAATTGACGGCAAAGATGCAGAGGAGTTTACGATTGATGCATCTCTCGCAACTGTCGCCGTCGGCAGTGGGCAGACACTTGAGCTTGCGCCGTTTGCACTCGTTGCTGGTGTGGTGGCGAGGTCAGCAAAAGCAAGCACCAGATCACCGGCCACGGAAATTGGCGGAAACAGCAGGATCAATGGCAATGAAAATGGAACAACTCACCATGCTAGCGACGTATACTTGCCACGCTTCATTCGGGGCGCAGATTCCGCGGCTTCGGTCGGCGCGGTTCGCTTCGGAAGCGGCGCCGAAGACGACGACTCGGCCACGGCCATGATCGGGCTTTGCGCCGGCGACTCGTCCTTGGGCATGGCTGGCTGGCCTCTGTGGCATCAGAAATTAATCAGGAATCCTCTCTCTTCGCAGCCTTGTTCTGTGACCCGATAAAAAGCGGTGCTTATTCCGAGGGAGGAGTGGGCTGCGGCGACTTCTTGTCTCTCTTGTAGATGTCAAGGGCAAGTTCGGCCCGGGTGGTTACGGAAGCGCCGTTCCGGAATTTCCGCTGACTGAGCTTCCCCGCAGGTCACGCTTCTCGCTGGGCCTCTCCCTGGCCTCTCTTTGGCTGCCACCAGTAATGCAGGAGCTTTCTTTCGTCCGGAAACACTAGCTTTTCTCCCAGAACTACCCATCTCGGTCCCTTCCAGCGCATTCATTCCCCGCACTCGACGATCGTCTTGCCGCATCTCTCGTTTCATTGGCGCCGGCCAGATGGAGGTTGCAAGGGGTCCCTGCAACGAGAGCGGAATGGCAACAGTGGCTGGCTGGCTGGCCACCCCAACCATTGATGTGTCATTGCATTGTAATACTAGTTTAATACCTTTTGTGTGAGGGGAGACCACCACGGCCCGATGCATATTTCTTCCGCCTGTCGCCCGCCTCGTCCATTGTGATACGAAGTAGTATCGTAGCTATCACGCAGCCAAGCACCAGCATCCATCAGGACAGGACAGGTCAGGACGAACAAGGTCAAGGTGCTCGTGCTGCATAATAGACACCCCCATCACTCTCAACCATGATCAAAACGGCAGATCTACTGGCCCTCCTCACCGACCATGGCCGTCGTGGAACCTTGGAGGTCCTCACCATCGTCTTCTTCCTCGCGCCCCTCGTCTACGTCGTCGCCAACGAGTTTATCCGCTACAATGCCCGCATCAGCCGGTTAAAGGGTCCCATGGGCCTGCCTGTCATTGGCAACATGTGGGATATTCGTGTCAACGCCGCGGAAAAGTATCGCGAGTGGGCAAAGAAGTTTGGTGACGTCTACCAAATCCAGCTCGGCAACATCCCCGTCGTCGTTATCAACTCGGCCGCCGCGGCCAAGACCCTGTTTGGCTTCAACCTGCAGGCCATGAGCTCTCGTCCTGAATTCTACACATTTCACAAGGTGAGTTATGAAGCAGCTGCTCTTCCCTCCCTCCCTACATGTGTTAACACCACGTCAGGTCGTCTCTGATACCTCGGGCACCACTATTGGCACGTCGCCCTTCAGCGACTCCCTAAAGCGTCGCCGCAAAGGCGCCGCTACGGCTCTCAACAAGCCCTCGATCCAGACCTACATCCCCCACCTGGACATTGAGTCGCGTGACTTCATCAAGGAGCTCTACGAGTACGGCGCCGCTGGCAAGACGCCCACCGACCCCATGCCCATGATCCAACGCCTGTCCCTCTCCCTCGCCCTCACTCTCAACTGGGGCGTCCGCATGAAGAGCCAAAAGGATAACCTCTTTGATGAAATTACCCACGTCGAGGAGGAGATCAGCCGCTTCCGGTCCACCACTGGCAACCTCCAGGACTATATCCCGCTCCTCCGCCTCAACCCCATCAACGGGCACTCGGCCAAGGCCCGCGATGTCCGTCGCCGCCGTGACGTCTACCTCACTCGCCTCAACGACGGCCTTGACGCCCGCATCGCCGCCGGCACCCACAAGCCTTGCATCCAGGCTAACGTCATCATGGACAAGGAGGCCAAGCTCAACAAGGAGGAGCTCACCTCCATTAGTCTCACCATGCTCTCCGGCGGCCTCGATACGGTTACCACCCAGGTTGCCTGGTTCGTCGCCTTCCTCTCCCAGAACCCCGACATTCAGGACAAGGCCGTCGAGGAGATCCGCAAGCTCTACCCCGCCGACCGCCCCATGTGCGACGAGCTCGACGACCAAAAGTGCGCCTACGTCGTGGCTCTGGTCAAGGAGTCTCTCCGCTACTTTACCGTCCTGCGACTGGCGCTGCCGCGTGCCTCCATCAAGGACGTGGCCTACGGCGGCGCCACCATCCCCAAGGGCTCCGTTCTCTTCCTCAACGCTTGGGCATGCAACATGGGTAAGCATCCCCCTTCGTACTTGAAGTTACCAATGCAAAATCTTGCGCTAACCACCTAACAGACTCGTCCGTGTGGGAGGATCCCGAAGTCTTCCGCCCCGAGCGTTGGTACGAGCAGCCCGACGCGCCGCTCTTCACCTACGGCGTCGGCTACCGCATGTGCGCCGGCTCCCTGCTCGCCAACCGCGAGCTATACCTCGTCTACATGCGCCTGCTCAACAGCTTTCGCATTGAGAAGCACGACGACGTTGATTGCCACCCCATCACCGGCAACGCCGACCCCACCAGCCTTGTCGCCCTGCCCCGGCGATACCGTGCTCGCTTCGTCCCCCGCAACCCCGATGCACTCAGGCTGGCCATGGAGGAGACGGAGGCTATGGAGAAGGAAGAGGATAGCGCCTCGGCGTGAGGAAGGTCATGAAGAGAAGTGAAGAGGGGGGTTGGATATTCCCAGGTGTGACTGCAGTACTTTGATTGGGACACGACAACAGCCAGACATGTAACAGCGACCATAGATTGGCCATGTAGTATCATGATAACATATTTGATTCACAACTATCCATATATAAATTGCCTTCATCTTCCTCCTCGCCCTTCTCCTCGTCCCTTTGCTACTAGAGCTTTGCATCCACTCTTGCCGGCTCAAAGTCATCCCACGACCGCAGACTCTCCTCACAGGCCTCCCGCCACGCCGGGACGCCCGCGAACCACGTCAGCGGCTCGCGCCTCTTTCCCGGCACGTTGGTCCCGACCCACCAGGAGTCGACCTCGCTCGCCAGCGTCGCGCGATACCCTTCGTACACCTTGTCCCGCCACCGCCTCGCCGCCTCCTCCGTGGCCTCCAGCTCCGCCAGCCCGCGCCCCTCGGCCCGCGCCAGCAGCCGGCACAGCAGCTCCACCTGCACCTCGATGAACGTCGGTCCGTTGGTCATCGGTCCCGGCGCCTGCGGGCCGTACAGCAGGAACGCGTTCGGCAGGCCGGGCACCATCATGCCCATGTGCGTCGCGATGCCGTCCCTCCACTTGTCCTGGAGGAACACGCCGTGCCGGTCGCGCACGTTCATGTCGTGGAGGCTGCCGGTGACGGAGTCGTAGCCGGTCGCGCAGATGACGAGGTCGAACTCGCGCAGCGTCTCCCCCGCCTCCCCCTCCCCGTCGGCGGTGACGATGCCGTCGGCGGTAAACTCTTTGATGGGCGTGCGGCGCAGGTCCACGAGGGTGACGTTGTCGCGGTCCATCATCTCGTAGTAGTCGTCCTCCAGGACGGGCCGGCGGGCCATGAACCACACGGGCTGCTCGTCCGGCACCAGCGCCGCGCGCTTCGCCGGGTCCCGGATCCGCGGCCCTGTCTTCTCCTTCCAGAACTCGTAAAACGCCGCGTTGACCGCCTTGTCCGTCGCGACCTCCGGGTAGTTCTCCAGGAAGACGGCGAAGCCCCCCTTGCGCCACGCCGCCTCCCAGACCTCCCGGTGCCGCGCGGGCGTGTCCTCGCGGAAGGGCCGCGCGGGCGTGTTGATCAGGTACCGCGGCCACCCGGCCGCCTTGGCCTGCGGGAAGACCTCCCCGTACACCGCCTTGCGCCGCTCCGCGTCCGCCAGCGTTCGCGTCTCCTGCCGCAGCGGGTAGGCGATGTTGGGCGTGCGAGTGAAAACGGTGACGTCGGCGTCGAGCTTGGCAATCTCCTGCGCGACCTGCGTGCCCGTCGAGCCCGTCCCGATGAGCGCGATCCTGCGCGCCTCCTTCAGGGACAGGTCGGCTGGCCAGTCGTGCGTGTGCACCAGCTGGCCTCGGAAGCGCTCCAGGCCCGGAAACGCCGGCACGTAGGGCTTGTTGGTGGTGCCGGTCGCGAAGAAGACGTACCGGCCGGTCGCGCGCAGGCCCCGGTCGGAGCGGAGTTGCCAGACGCCGGCGCCGTTGTCGTACCGCGCGTCGACGATGACGTGCCGGAAGAGGGCGTCGCAACGCAGGTCGAGCACGTCGGCGACGTGCCGGAAGTAGGCCTGCATCTCGCGCTGGTCGGGGAACTTGGTGCGGAAGTGGAAGCCCCGCCAGGCCTCCGGGAGGCTCAACTGGTAGAGCGGCGAGGGGGAGTCGACGAGGGCGCCGGGGTACCGGTGGGAGTGCCAGACGCCGCCAAAGTCGGACCCAGCATCGATCATCTTGACGGTGTAGCCCTGTCGTCGGAGCATGTGCGTGGCGTAGCAGCCGGAGAAGCCGGCGCCGACGACGATGCAGTCGGCGGAGAGGGCCGGTTCGGAATCGGGTGCGGGAGGCGCGGTGGTCATTTTTTTTTTCCTTTTACAGGGCAGATTGGATTTTGTGAGAGGAATGGAAGCGGCATGGGAGTAGGACGGTGCACCCCCTTTGCTTTATAACTTGGGGGATATGCCCCCGAACTCGGGTTACACTCGATGCATGCTGCATGCTGAGGTGGGCGGCATCATGCAATAGCCGTATTATTGCAGCTGCACATCCAAAGCACCTCGGCATGTGTACCGCGTGCAACACACATCTTTGTATTGCGCCACCATATGCTGCTGGCCAGCTGAGCTCTCGGTTGTCGCTGACTCTTCCTTGGGCAGTTGGCTGCGGACTCTGGGACTCCCGAGCGACGCAAGCCACTGAGCCCGATAACTAGCTGAAGAGGGAAATGTACGGAAGCACCTCAAAATGCAAATGGAAGGTGTCGATACGCAAGAAGTGAAAAGATTCTGATGCGTATAATCCACACAATGTACAAGAGCAGCTGGAAGCTGAAATGATGCCCCCACGACCTACCTGGGAAGCGTATTATTTCCACCGCGCGGGTAAAGGGGCATCACGATTTGCAGCCCCATTTCCATACCCATACACCATCAAGTGGAATATTGTTAGTGCAGGCGGTGCTTTCCGAATAATAGGATCACGATACAACGCTTCATGCTTGGTAGCGATCAACGAAAAATAAACTAGCAGAAAGCTATACCTATGTATGTCCAGCTCTTGTGACATTGTGTCTCGCGTTTATGTTTTGCTGCAGGATTACATACATATGGAACCCGTATGTATTCGTCTACGTTACGTCTCATTCGCCAGCTATGGCCGCCTTCATCCCCAACAACACAACAGCGGAACATCAGCCAAAGAGTCACTTTATCAAGTATTCAAGTGTAAATCTAGCCAGCTTTCCTACCGCAAGGAGCCCGTAAAAATAGCGATTCGTATTTTACGCTGCTTATTGAGACAACCTTCACAGCGTAAAGTGAGCGCGCCCACCTCGGGGCAGACAAGGAACAAGGTGAGCGAACCAATATCTCATGACTGACAATCACCTAGTCGGAAAAGGGGGGAGCTACTTGATACAACCTCGAGGAAACGGTATCGCGGGAAGCTGCATCCATTCGTCGCCAGCATGGCGCCGAGGTTTCTGGTTCGTCACTGACCGTTCTGACACGACGATAATGAAAGGTCTGTATTAATGTCAGGTCGTTGTTAATGTAAGGTGCTTGCATTAACGTAAGGTGGCCGTTGTGAATAGAAGATCGTGTTATCAACGTAAGGTGGCTGCAATGTAGGTGGCGTGTTATGAAATGCTTCTGGTATTCTCTTACACTATCAATATATATGCAGATAGCCCCCCGACTCTCAACCACAAGGCAGAGTGCCCGAGTGGCCCAAGGGGTTGCACTCGAAGAACGGTGGGTCTAACCCACCAAGACTTGATATGCAATACGTTCGCGTGCGCAGGTTCGAATCCTGTCTCTGTCGGTTAACTTTTTTGCTGTTTTTCTTTTGCTTCGCCACATTCCTTCATCTTTTTCTTTTTAATCTTTTGATTGGATCTACGAAGCATTCGTGTTATAGTGTTCTAGTGTCATAGTGTCTTTCAGACAGTTAAAGCGTTAATCGCACCCCGCAGTGCTTCCGGATGTATCGTGACAATCACTAAATTATGCAGGCCTCCCTTCTGCCTACGAAATCTTCGTAAATTCGATACCTCTGGACGCGGCATTAGTTTTACGAGGCCGCCACCCAGACGCATCACGCATACTAACTTGTGCCACGATGACAAGACCTGTGTGTACCTACGGGTAGGTTGTGAGGAGGGTGTCCTTTGCTACAAGGCCTCCAGCTGTTGTGGTTTTTCTCCTTTCGTGTGGGCAATCGTCACTTCACGTATTGCCGAGCGATTACAGTAGTTGAGCAACCAGAATGGCCCAATGTAAAAGGGGAATCATATTCATATAACATGTCAAAAAACATCTATGACCTTGTACGCCCAAATTCCATATGCGGACCAACCCGGGACCTGGTTACAAGAAACCGAGTTTTAGATTTTTAGTTTTCCCATTTTGCTGACGCCTTTTCAACCCATTACCGCCTTCATGATGAATTGCTTTATTTTCAAATCATTACAAGCACTGGTAGCGAGCTTACTCGTCGTCCTCGTCCTCCTCCTCAGCCTCAGCGGTGGTCTGGGCGATACGGTCCAAATCACGCTGGCCGGCCTGGGTGATGCGGCGGCCACCCTTGTCGTCATCCTGCTCGAGGACGCCAATCTTCTCGAGGGCCTGCATGACCTTGCGGTCGACGGAGCCGGAGGCGTCGACGTGCTTGGAGGGACGCGAGCCGCGGTTCTTGGCGGTGCCGTGCACCTTGCGCAGGCGGCCGACGCCGACGGTCTTGCGGAGGTAGACGTGGCGGGCGACGGAGGCGGCGCGGACGTAGAACCAGTCGATGTCCTGGGGGGGCAGCTCCTTGGAGGGGCCGGTCTTGACGGTGTCGACCCAACCTGTGGAGAGGGTTAGCAACGCCGCGCTGCTTTCATTACCAAGTCGAAAATCGCAAACGTACCAGGGATGGGCAGCTTGCCCTGGCGCTTCAGGAAAGCAGCATAGGAAGTGATGAACTTTTGCGCCTGAACGAGAGAGAAAGAGAACCCATTAGCAAATATTCCGTCTTCAGAAGTCTTGCGACTCCCTCGCGCCTGCTCCTCAAAAGTATTCCAATAACATCGTATATCGAAAGAGTGTGGTGAACGGCTCCGCGGTTCTGTGTTTCAAGAGAGCGAGAGTAGGCAGTCCGTTCCAGGAGGTTGCCCATCGCGTTCGATTCGGTTTCCGCACAGCTCTGATATAGACGGTATTTGGTTTTGCACGTCGTTGTCGGATCAAGGACTTTGTCGTTCGAGTTTCGAAGCGATGAGGTGCGCAGCACAGCGAGGGGAGTCGCTACATGACATTCGCAGAGCCATCGTCTTCACGGTCCAGTCTTTCGACCGTCGCGCGACGTGCGCTCGCGCAGATGCCTCGGGTAATTTCAAGGGGTACCTACATCAACGTCGCGAACAGTGACACCGCCGGCCATTTTGTCGGTATTGTGAGGGGTTGAGGGTGAATTGGGTCGGTGAGAAAGAGGTTGTTCGTGGGTTGGAGTGGGAGGAGAGGCTGCACTGGTCTTTCGTGATAGTATTGGGACACCTGGGGCACTTTTTTTCCACGCTAGGGTTTGTGGCCCTACTAGCGAGCAGGTGGTTGTGATTGGTGTGGTTGTTCTCGTGAAAGAAGCGAGAGAATGACTAAGCTGCTCAACATGCACCGTGACTGGGGAGGCTCGCCACTAGTTCTATCTAGGCATAGTGCTCGAGAGAAACTCGCCCGCTTACTGGTACGGAATTTCCTGGCCAGCACCAGCCCATTCATCTTCTACATACACGCTTTCTCTGCGGCCACACCACATCCCATTCAGGGGGGTGTACTTAACAGTGTTCATCAAAGCAGCATGCTGAACTCCCACTTGCGTCGCTTTCCATCATTTTATGCCAAAAGAGCACTCTTTAGCAACGTGGCACGATGTTGCAGCACGGCTGCGGATGCCCATGTGACGCCCGTCCTGTCCGTCAGCGATATTGAGCAACGCTGTCGGGCCTTCATGAGAAACCCCGATCTACTGCCTATCGTCTGGGTGGGTGTTTTTGGATCATTCGCCAGGAATGAGCAGAAGGCCGATAGTGACGTTGATCTGCTCTTTGGCTTTAGAGGAGAGGCTACTGGCGACGAAATGTACTATACGGCGCCCATTGCGTGTGAAATCAAAGACCTGATGGGGAGAAGCGTGGATGTCTTTGTTCATGCGAGATGGCCAAGACTTGAGTTTTGTCCGCTCCCAAGCTCTGCTGCTAGGCAAGACGACATATGGCTCAGATAAATGGCGGCTAAGCAATGCTTCTGGCGCAGCGGCGCTTTTGCAGGAGGATACGTATGCGAGAATCAGGGCTGTGCTTTATCTGAAAAACTTTGGGAGGCGAAAATTGCATACCTCAATCCAGAGGTAAAGCAACACCCGTGAGCGTGCTGGACGTAGCTAACTTGTGAAGTGGCCGTAACTCATCTCCCAATCGATGAAGTGGCTCATGATGTCGAGCATCTCATCTCTGTTTTCACAACGAATCGACAGGAACAAGCGCGATGAATGCGTACTATCTCTGCGCAATTGATCCATTTCAGGACATTGTGAACACATACAAGCTGGGAGGAGCTGAAGGAACGAGCATTGCCGAAAAGCAACATCTTTGGCAACGGGTGAGAGCATCACTGCCAAACCGTGCGAGCGCTTTGAAATACATTTATCTACCTATATTAGTGGACACGCTCAAGCGCGCCGGCCTCGACGGTAATCTGGAACTCGGCCGATCCCCTGTCCCAAAGCTCTGACTTTGTAAGATTCCTCATGACTCGTAGTCATACTCGCGCCAATGGAACGTAAAGAAGAAAAAGCCTTGAAATGATCCATTTCAGTTGTGCCGATCTATCGGCAGCTCAAACCCCTCCTACTTTGGCGTGGCCTCGTTGGCGACGTTACCTCCTCCGCTCGTTCCCAAACTTTCTGGCTCATCCGCTTCTTGACTTTGACAGTTCGACGCATGCCCATCTAGCTCCGGCGATTTCGACGCCTGCCCGTCCAGCTCCGGCAACGACTGCCCATGCAGTTGCGGCTTCTCCCAGGCTTCTGTGGCGATGGTCGGGACATTCTGCTTCCTGGCTTTCCTTCTCCGGCGATGGAGACACAATCCCAATAAAATAAGGACTATGATCAGGTCTGCGATACCAACGCCGATGCCTGCGTCGACACCGGTCGATAGCGGTTGATTCTGGCTTAGATACAAGGTGTGTGTCGGCTGTGCTGCGTCGGAGTCGGTGCTGGTTGCTGTGACGGCGGATCAGGAAAGGGCCACTCATCAACTGAGGAGATGGTTCTTTTGTCGAGTCCGATCCCTTGACAAGACTTGGTGCTCGAAAAATTGAGACCCGCCGAGATCGTCCATTCAAGGTGGAAGGCGGTATTACGGTATTGAGGCACATGTCAACATTCGTCCAATCACCATCGAGCCGTTCTTGGTCATACTTAAAAACGTAGGTTATCGATTCTAGGCAGCTTGTTAGAATATGTAAGTCGGATTTGTTCGACTGTGGCGCCGTACGGGTCAAGGTTTCACACTCAGACTGGCTGTCGTAATGACGAAGCCAAATGTCAAAGTCTGCCGTAGGTCTGGGGTCATCCGGACCAACCAAGTCACCAGACCATAAAATATTCAACTCTTGACCAACCTCAAATGTACTTCCAGGAGTTGGTTTCAAGAAGCCAGAGGAGGCTTGCAGGGCACAGTCTGACGGAAGTGCATACGCAGGCATAGTAATGGTACAGCACAAGGAATGTGCGTAGAAAGTCGACGCACTCGGCTCCCCGTCGCTGAGAGCGTATATACTGGGGCTCTTTCTTCTTTCTATAAGATAGAATGGGGGGGATCTCAGCCCAACCGTTCAGATTGCCTCGGGGCGGAGCTGGTGAATGCACAACCGTCATCCCGTCACCGTGGCTGCGTCGGCCGGGGCAACTCCAGCTTTGTACTCGGGGCATCCAGGCACTGTCTCGGGCATGCTATAGCCTATCAAGTTGACGACGATTCGTCTGAGCGCATGCAGATAGTCACACGAAGGTTTTAGCAAAGGATCCGAGACAACGAATAGCAGCTGAATGCACATGGTTACCTTGGACGTTTCGCGACGTTGTGGGAGAAGGCTTATTCAAGATGGAAAGTAACATTAGGATAGCTCATTCATCGCTCAAAGTCAGCGGTTGCTCTAATTACTAGACCATTACTGGGAAAAGCCGCAGAACTATTAGCTGGCACTGCTCTCAAACGAGAGCACAAGAGGTCGGGCATAAGACACTTGCGGGCTATCAAATTATAAAGCATGCAGTTTGACCCGAGCCGCATGCACAGATACACCTCCCACATTAACAGAATACGGCTTCCGCCCGGCGCTGCTGGTAATAATAGAAAGTCGGCTGCAGCAGTTTGTGACGGAGGCCACTTGGCTGCAGAGCATTCCGGGCTGAGCTGACATGCATTGGCCAGATTGTTACATGCTGAGTAGCCGTTGGCAATAATGTGGATGAGCTCGAATAATCTCACCACGGAATAAAACATGTGCACTCAAATGCACGCTTCACATCTCTATGTACGCTAGCATCCAAGGCCGTCGCCGCTAGTGGATGCCCACGACAGCAATTTTCTCGATGGCCGCGTGAAACGAGACATGCCGGATATCACAGCCGACTGGGCTTGTATAATCACATCGCATGCAGGCGGAATGCTTGGTCTGTACCAAGTGTGCCTGGGTGCTGCTAGAGAGCAAATGAGACTGGAACATGCATCTCTGTCCCCAGGTAGGGAGCAAAAATATATGACTTTACCATCGTGGCCAACTATTAATTACGGTATCGGTATATGTATACTTTATTCATTCGGTATGCACCATTTTTCGCAGCTCCAATGTATGTACTCTCCAGTGCCATGGCTTCGCCGTGACGGCTGCTCACGAAAAGAAGGTCTACCCAAGCAATCACAAGCATATGCCTGCTAAAGGTTTGCATTATGCTTTCATACAACATCTCCACCGCTCCGCCTTCCTGATCAGTCCCGATAAACATCTTGCCATTCCTCGTCGGAAACAGCGCATCATACAAATCCCACATCAGCCCCAAGCAGCACCTGTACTCCTCCCGAACCTCCCCTTCAAGCCAGCTGCCAAACTCAAAGCGCTGCATGTCGCTCCTCTTCTGACGAAACACTGACAAAAAGTCCGTCCCGCGCCACCGCGCCAGGCGACTTCCCTCCGGAACCTTGTCCACGCTGGGGCCGATGGCCACGTGCAGCAGGACGTAAAACACCGCCTCCAGGTCGTGCCTGTAGGTGTGATCGTCGCCGCCGAGGATCCCAATCGCCATGAAGCCTTCAGAGCCGATGAGCTGTGCCTCTCGGCAGGAGGGGCGGAGAGGTCGAGCGCGAGGTCAAAGTCGATGAGCGTGCCCCGCGGCGGGTGCGAGGGGACCACGATGATGTTGGCGGGGCTGATGTCGCGGTGCAGCATGTTTGCTTCGCTGTAGAGCGAGCGCAGGGCCTTGGTGACGTCTCGCAGGATGACGAGGAGTTCAGACGGCGAGGAGGCTGTGGCAAGCGGTCGACCAAGGGGTGAGGTCACTACGCACGCCCACTTGAGATTCTCAAACTTGGGCCCCCTCTTCCGCCTCGTCGGCTGCCGCATCTGGGCATTTCTGCGGTGTCGTTGCTCTCTTCAGCCAGATGGAAGCTTGTCACCGCGCGAGGCTTGCCGAAAACCAACCCTCTCTTTCAGCCCAGCGACGTCGCCGAGGTCCAGCATATGCCTCGAGCGTCGGCACGCCCCGGACGCCCGAGCCGTTCGCCTTTTTCAGCAGCGTCCTTTCCGCCGAGGCAGCCTCCGCGATCCCACACAGACTTGACCACGGCGCTCCGATCGCCGTGGCCGCCAACATCGCGTGCCTTGAAGCACGTCGTCCCCGCACCGGACAGGCAGTCTTGCCTCACAAAAGGGCTGCTCCTCGACAGACAGCGTCGTCAAGGCACCAGACTCGGCAGACCGCCCGAGATTGACGTGAAGCGCTCCGTCATCGCCTCCCCTGCGCAGGGTCGTGTTCAGTCCCAGCTGAGCATCCGTCATGGACCTGGAGCAAGCGATGACGCGTCGGAAGCGATCCGGGTCTTGAGCGATGCAGAAGGCTTCGCCGCTGTATGCGCCCGCCCTGTCAAACCGTCCACGTCTCTCTATCGTGCCGCCGGTGCGGATGCGGAACGCATGCAGGCAGCACCGGTCTGGCTGGGCCGCAAACACGCTGGCCGCTCGGGCGCCGGAACTCGACGAGCAGCCCGTCAGTCGGCTGAGAGGCGGTGGCCGCGGTCTGCAGCACGCCGAGCACGATGGCGGCGGCCTCGGGACTCTTCGTGCATGCGGAGGCCGCGTCTTCTTCTCTGATTAGAAACAGATATGCAGTTGAGCCTTCGGCGGCGTCATGTGGTGGCGCGGGGTCGGGGATAAATATGTGAGGCGAGGTGCCGGTCACGTCGTTGATGAGCTGCACCAGCTCCGACCGCCGCAGTAAGACTTCTGCTAGGGCATTGGGGAGTGAAGCATCCTGCCGCGCCTGGAGCGGAGAGGGCTTTGTCGGCAACGGTCCCGAGGAGGGCGTCGAGAAATACTTTGCCTCTCAGCCGGAGACGCCCATGTATACGCACCCTTTCAGCGACGCGGCGAGGGCAGCCAGGTTACAGTCATCCATGCCCGTCCTTGCGCATATTCTTTGTTTGTGTGAGGAGCAGGGCTCAAAAACCTTTCTTGTGCAACGTGAGACTCAGAGTCGAAATTGTTGTCGTGATTGGCCGACGTGTCATCTCGCGGCGCGCTCTAACGGACACCCAGTAGGATTTAATCGGATCATCACATAGGATGCAATTAACCACTGATAGAAATCGTAAAAGGACACATATTGATTACTTCTATGCAACTCTAATGCGCCATATTCTATAACCAAGACAGTTAACCTCCAAGCATTAATTCTATTTCCTTAGCCCGTGGTATAATGAATAAAAAAGTCCAATGTTAAACATGATTCGCTCATAACCCTACACTAAAAGTGCAATACTGAGAAGAATATTGTCCGATGCGTGTCGATTTATGCCCAGTTGGCAAGCAGGGCCATGATGAAAGCGCCGAAAGCGATGCAGCCAAAGCCAAAGAGCTGGATCTTGAGCGGAGACCGGCGCATGTGAGGGTTGAACATGAACTCGTGGGCAAGCAGCTCGACGAGGCCGGTGTACATAAGAATGCCGGCGCTGATCGAGTCAAAGATGCCGTTGGTGAGCTTCTGGTCAGTGGCGTTGGCAGGCTTGGCGCCCATTCCTGCGGCGATGCCCACGGGAGTCGAGATGGCGAAGCCAACGCAGAGGAGGTAGGGAAGCCACTTCTTGTCCTTGGGCCAGGGGGCAGTAGCAATGCGGGAGCCGAGACCAAGACCCTCAAACATCTGATGGAAGACGAGGACGATGAGCAGAACAACAAGCTCCTCAGTGGTGCCCAGGGTCAGGCCAACAAAGATACTGTGGAAGATGACACCGAATTCGAGCACAAAGATGGCGGTAAGCTGTCCAGCAAGACCAGTCTCATCCTCCTTGTGAGATTGAGCGTGAGCAAGGTGATCCTCACCGCCAGGGGGGTAGCTAACGTCGTCAGGACGGCCGGGAATGCTCTTGGGGTTGATACCAGCAGCCTGCTCGAGGTCGGGGGCGTGCGGGCAGTCAGTAGACTCGGTGACGCCTGGGCGCTTCTTGGCAATGTAGTCCATCGAAGGACCCTCGCTGTCGGAGCCATGGGCGGCGGCGTGATCGTCGTCCTTCTGGAAGCTGGTCACAACCAGCTCGACGAGGAACATGGTCATGACGGTCATGAGACCAATGGCGAGAGCCCAGGGGTAGTCGGGAACACGGGCAGCAACACATGGGTCGCTGAAGTTGTCGATGGCGGGATCGAGCAAGTGCATCCATGCAGTGGCAATAATAACACCAGTACCTACGTACTTGCAGACGAAGAAGGTGAACTTGGGAACGTGCATCCGCGTTTGGCGAGCCAGCAAGACGGGTGCCAAGGCACCAAGGAGCGAGGCAAACATGATTATGAAGATGGCACCGATGCGGAGACCACGGCGGGTGTCATCCGCAGCCTCGCCGGTGCAGTTCAGGGGAGCGTCCGAGTCAGCCATTGTGGTAGTTGTTGCAGGATGGCGGTTCCGCTTATGCGTGTATGTGATGATGCTGATGCCAAGATTGCAGGGACAATCCTCTTGCAGAAGTAGCCTTGGTACAGAAGAAGAATAGAATAGCAGCTAACCGCAGGGGATGCTACTATTATAGCAAGTGTCCACGAGGACGGTTCAGGAGGGTGTGGGTGGGATGAGTGGCAGACGAGGAGGAGGGGAGGGGCGGATAAGGCGGCAGCTGCAAAATCTTGCAGGTTTCTCAGCTCAAACACCTTGATGGCCGCAGGCAACTGGGGATCAGTTCCACTTGACCAGATAACTGGGAGAGATGTGTGCTTCTGAAGCCACGCGAGACAGAGTGGAAGTGGTTCGTCCGTCGGATGAGTGGTGGGAATTCGGCTCAGAGATGCCGTAACTCTTGGCGGATCGACTTGGCAATGCGAGTCTGTGTTCCAGTGCCGTGATACAAGATTGGCGAACGTTGCCAAGAGCAGGTCAAGAGCAGAGTGTTTGACGAGGTGGTGGTTGTGTTGCGTATGACGGCGAGATGAGGCTGGAGAGATGAGACGCGAGACAACTCGGCAGTCAAGGTTTTTTATAGACTTTGCGATTAGATTCTAATCTGTCAACTTGGAAGCCTTAGGAAGAGTCGTATTATTCGACAGTCCGAAGTTAACCGTGGGACCGTCGCAGAGACTATTCAGAGTAGCGGAGTGGATATGATGCAAGCGACGGCGTAAAGCACAGTGATGCCGGTAAAGTAGTGGGTTTTTTATGTAATTGTGCTGGATATATCCGTACCGAGAGTGAGAATAAAGGTAGTTAAATGAAGAAGACGAGAAAAAAATGAGGGCCAAGAGATGGAGAGTGCCCAGACGATGAGTGGCGCCGGGTGATCAGCGGGATTGGAGGGTACCAAGCAGAGGGACCGAAAGCAGTCGAGGAGAATGATCAAGTGCGGACGGGATGCGGTGCTAATGTGAGAACCTTGATGGCTACCCAACTTTTTTGCTCTGCGCTAGTTGAAAGGTAAAGAGGGGACGAGCGAGTCTTGAGGAACAGGGGTCCCTATCTCTTTATGTATTCGAATATTCTTATTTTGTTTCCTTCGCCGACAAGGAATCAGAAAATCACAGTGCTGATCCCTCATGCCCTCGCCGCTCTCGAACCGTACACGGAGCAAGGTGCATCGACAACGACTCGCGCGAAACGCACGATGTCGAACCGATCCAAGGACACCCCGGCTTCTTGAGGTAGCATCGCTCATCGCTCAGGCAAAGTCGAGTCTGTCCATTGACTGCCAAGGGCAATGTGGCCAGCTACTAGCCGAAACATAGGTGCTGGGAGGCCTATCAAAGTTCGCATTATGGTGTGACAAAACATTGTCGCTCAAAGTTCGTGGGAGGCAGAAAAAGCGGGAAACCGGGTTGGTTATCTCTTGCACCTGCCATTTCTCGGCAATACCTTCTCTCGGAGAATAACCGATGACAAGCAACGAACAACCGTGCTTGCTTCCTTCGCTCAAAGAAACGTCAAGGGAAGTGGGAGATGTGGTGGAAGATGGCGCAAGGGCCGCGCGCCACAGCCTACGACTTGTCCGGCGGCGTTGGCGTTGGCATCCACGAGGGATCCCCATTGTGGCGCACCAACGCAGCCTATCACAGCAGTCGTAATGGCCATAACCAGATCCATCCGGGTTCTCACCTGTAATCGTAGGCTTGCCCAAAACGGAACCTCGATCATCAGGCTTCAGCCCGTTCACCTCTCAAGGTGCGCCTCTGGCTTCGGGCTGACACAAATTAAAAGCCCTCGGTCGCTGGCCGACTGCTTCGACTGATGAAGGGAGTCTTTCCTCGAGCCGGCTCTCGCTAATAGCGGCAAACTTGACCATGTTTAGGTTGCTCTTTTCCCGAGGAGTTAGCCGTCGCAACACCCCATCCTGGCGCAATCAAGACGCCTCATCCGTCCGAGTTACTACCGGAATACCAGGCCAAGGGACAGGGATAACAATACCGCCGTTGTATTTCGCTCTACGCGTTGAGGTAAGTTATGTTAAAAATACAGATTATGTACATGCAAGCCATTCAGCTGTCAGCTCAGCCACACGCAGCCTAGCCCTTGTCTCCTGCGGAGAGGAAATGGCACCCACGGCGCATTTGTAGTAAATTTGGATGGTGCAACGTGACAACAAACACAGCGGCTCAACTTCTGACCACCAGAGTGAACAATCGTGCGTATCTCTGCTTTCTCTCGTATTGTTTCCTCGTGCGCCCTGAATAGGGTAGCATGCCAGGTCACTCGACGGAAGCGGCGTTCCGCATACCGGAGCCAGTCGCACGTAGGACAACGCTGCTCTTTCCGCGCAGAAAAAAAAATGTCTTGCAGCCTGCAGCGCCCTGCATCGCTCAACCTACTTTGTATGCGCCAAGCATGCACCCCACGACAAGGGTCCTCAATCGATCCTGTTTGATTGGGTCAACATTTCTTCTCCTTTCCAGCTCAAGACGAAAATTGTATTTCCAGACCCAGAGTGCGAAATGGCTTGTCCAAGTGCCGCAGGTCAATGCCACTCCCCAGGCTGAATAGGAGCGACTTGACCCGGCCCTCCCACAGCAGCCCAATGCGCAGGTTCTGGTCGAAACGAGCCTTGAGCACCCCCGCATACTCTTCATGCGCCTGCGACCCCGGCTGGCTAAGAAGCTCCGTTTCGCGCCCGGCGACCACCTCGGGCTCTTGGCCCTGGGTGGTCGGCCCTGCCGATGGGGTCCCGTAGGCCGCCCCGGAGGCCGCCGCCGCATCATCCGCCCTATTGGCGAGCAGCTTCTGCCCCTTGTGCTCCGGCGGTGGTGGTTCATCCAGGCGCCACTCCATCTTAGCTCTAAAGCTGCGTTCCGGCGGGGAGCGGGGGCCGATTGTTTCGTCAGGCGATGATGTCGGTGTCGGTGGTATTTGTGGCAGCGACGAGGACGGGCCTTCGCCGTCCGATGGGTCTGGTGAAGGCCGCACGAACGGCTTGCGCCACAGCTCCATGCCAACAGCCCAGGCGCTCTCATAGCTAAACACGTTGAATTCCATGCGCGTCGCCAGGGTGCAGTGACGGCCCGCGACGACCGAGTAACTCGCGCCGACGCTGCCCATGAGCGGGTTCAGCGTCAGCGTCGCTGCCAACGGCGTGCCCTTGTGCGACGGCAGCGTCGCGAAGCGGGCCGCCAGGCTGATGCCGCCCGACTTGTTGAGCGTCCCGTAGTAAATCTCGGCACCGGTGCTGAAGCGTCCGTAGATGCGCTCCTTTTCGCCGTTTGGCGCCGGCGCCGGCGGTGGTGGCGTTGTTGTCCTCGTCGGTTCATCGCTCCCGTTCCGGGCCGCGACGTCGCGTGGCGGCTCGGCGTCGCCGCCAAAGTTGTACGTGCCGCGCAGGCCGAGGAGACCCCCGTCGGACGAGGCGAGCCCCTCGACGGCGTACTTGCCCACGTCGTACTGCGCGAGGCCCAGCGTCGTGCCGCCGTTGCGCAGGTGCTGGCCCGACACGGCACTAAACTGCACCTGCAGGTGCCGCGAGAGCCGCCGTACCACGAGCGCCTCGAGCTGCGACTGCGGTAGATAGAGTCGTCCGTAGAGTAGCGACGCCTGCGGCTCACCGGTGGCGTCGTCGTCGGGGCTCGGGCCGCCCGCCGTCGTCGTGCCCAGCGTCAGCGGAGTCAGCGGCCGGTAGGAGCGCAGCAGCGCGGGCAGCGCCACCTTTTCCGACTGTGGTGTGAGCAGCACGCGCAGCGGCACCGACGAGAAGAGGTACGAGATGGAGCCGTCGACGACGCCGACGGAGCCCAGCTGGTACGACGTGGCAAAGTTGGGGCTCGCGAGCGCGGAGAGTGTGAGGCGCAGACCGCGCGGCGTCGGGAAGTTCAAGAGAGCTATTATTCAGCATCAATTAGCATGCTGGTGGGCTTTTGCAGTCATGTCGGTGCGCATCGGACGGTTGCGCGCAACGTACCATCACTGGTGGCGTTCAGCGCCGCGTACGAATTGTCACGGGACCAGCCCGTGGCCTCGTAAAACGCGCTGTGGACATAGTCCATAAACTCGCGCATCTCGTCACGCTTAGCGACATGTAGTGTCTGGTGTCCGTGGATGTCCGGAGGATCGAACTCGTTTGGCGGCTTCCCGTTGGGGACAAAATGGTCTAGTCGAGTCGCAGTGTCACGGAGAGAGAGCGGTGATGCCGGTCGGCAAAACGTCGGCGTTGCACCCTTACTGCCAACACGAACCACTAACAAGGAGCTTGACAAGGCAATAGTTATCGAATTCAATCAAAGGATTGGTCGAGACAATCTCCGATATTAATTTGTCATCATGATTTTCTCTAATTAATTTATTTCCTTCCTTGAGGCGGCGAGGCTCGACTCGTAAGATATCACTAGAAAGGATGGTGAGACATCACCGCCTACAGCAACATTGTCCGCTCCGGGCCGAGGAGTAGTGGTTGTGGATTGGAAATAGGAGGGACAATGACGCAACTACTTACCCAATGAAATAGTGAAAAAATTCCATCGCAAACCAGTTCAGTCCAGGAACCGAGGCTTAGCTCCACACTTGTATCTTAAACGAGCCACTGAAAGAGGCTCTAGATTAGTACAACGGCGGTAGTTTCGGTGTTAGCCTCATCATGGGCAGATGACAAATGCGAGATTGTTAAGCTCTACCACCCTTCACGGCTGTTATTTAAACCAGTTCAAAGTCTTCAATCGTCTACCTTAGCTCTTATCATCATTTACAACACTCAATTACACGTTTTGCCTTGCTTTCGCGTCGCCATCCCCACTTACACCACCAAGCCCGCAAGCTACCCTACACAGCAACCTAGCCATGGCAGCCATCCCGAGCACCATGAAGGCCCTCGTCGCCGTCCGCGACGCCGCCGAAGTCTCGGCCCCGTCTTCTGTGGCAGGCCGCGGCGCCACGCTCCGGGACGTGCCCGTGCCCTCCATAAGCGGTAGCGAGATCCTCGTCAAGGTGACCGCCGTCGTCCTCAACCCCACAGACTTCAAGCACATTGACCTGCTCTCCCCCGAGGGCGCCGTCATCGGCTGCGACTACGCCGGCGTCGTGGCCAAGGTCGGCGGCGACGCCACTGGCAGCTGGAAGGTAGGCGACCGCGTGGCCGGCTGGGTCCACGGCGGGCTGTACGAGGACCGCGGCAGCTTCGCGCAGTTTCTCAAGGTCGACGCCGACCTCGCCTGGAAGGTGCCCGACGGCGTGTCGGACCTCGCTGCGGCTACGTACGGCGTCTCCGCCACCACCGCCGTCCTCGGCCTGCAAAAGCACCTCGGCCTGCCCTGGCCCGAAACCACCACCACCACCACCACCACCGGCGCCGGCGCCGGGGAGCCCATCCTCGTCTACGCGGCCTCCACCGGCGCGGGGCTCTACGCCGTGCGCCTCGCCAAGCTCGCCGGCCGCACCGTCGTTGCCACGGCCTCGCCGCACAACTTCGACCTGGTGCGGCGCTACGGCGCCGACGCCGTGTTCGACTACAAGTCGCCCACCGCGGCCGCCGACATCCGCGCCGCCTACCCGGGCCTGCGCCAAGCTTTTGACGGCATCTCGGAGAACGGCACCACCGAGTTCTGCGCCGCCGCGCTGCAGCCCGGCGGCAGCGTCGTCGTCCTGCTGCCGCCCAAGGCCGCCGAGATCGACGGCGTCAAGGTCCAGCACATCCTGGCGTACACACTCTTCGGGAGGGAGTTTCACCTGCTCCCGCCGCGGGGGCCCAAGTTCCCGGCGAGCGCGGAGGACCGCGCGGTGCTGGCGCGCTTCTACGCGCTGCTGCCGGGCATCGTCGGCAAGCTGGAGCCCATCCCCGTCAAGGAGCTGCCAGGCGGGCTCGAGGGCCTGGGAGAGGGTTTGAATTTGCTCCGCGAGGGCAAGGTGTCGGGCACCAAGCTCGGCTATAAATTGGAGTAACAAGGTTCATGGTAGAATGATGGAATAGATTGGCATGTAACTATATAGATCACCAGCCAACATGGCTGCCCTGATAGAACGTAAATTGATTTTGACGTTGTTCTGGGAGTTGGCAGATGCTCACTTCGTAGTTGATTGGCCGACCTAACTTGAGAGTGAGGTCGCGAATCTTCGCCAGTCAATCAAACCGTGACAAAAATGCACAAAACGAATCCAGTTTGCCGATGCGCCTCATAAAACAAATCAAGTGACTTTGGGATTCCACACCGCCCTGCTCACTTCTCTGACGTAGTCCAAAAAGCCGTCTCTATTTGCGTCGTACTCCGTGTTGATCCTCGCAAAAACGGCGTTGCTTTCCTCCTCCCATGTATGGATATCAGTTCCTAGTCGCTTCGTATGCTCATTCCGAAAGGTTTTGGATCAGAGACACGTTGTCTCCCTTGAGGAGGATTTGTCCTGCAGGGGTGGTTAGTCCGGCCATCAGCCACGTTAGACGTGGTTGCACGTACCCAGTGGTCTCCTTGTCTCCTTGTCGTTGGTCTTGGTAATCTGGCGGACTTCAACGGCGTCATCGAGGACGAGGTTCATGAACTCGTCGAAGCCCTGCGTATCTTGTCAGTGCGGCTCGTTACTGTTGCATCTGGTAGAACTAACGCGAATCTTGCCCTCGATGCGGATGCCGAGCTGTTCGTAGAGCCAGACGCTAACGGTAGCGTTCTATTATAGGGTCAGTAAAGTTGATGGAAAATCTCGCCTTCGAGATGGTGAGCCAACGATCACCAGCGATTCGCGATTCGATCTCGAAGCCGTGGCACCCATCGGTTCCCCGTGGCTTTCCAGGCAGATCTGAAATGAAGTCCTGCCTCGGTATTGGCGATGGAATTTTCGCAAGGACCGCGCATCAACTGCGATAGTCTTCTGCCTTGCGATGGTATGCCACCGCTAAAACCTCCATCGCATCGCCGGGATCGCTGGCTGTCGAGGGATTGCCATCCGCAGATCAATCGCACTTACGCTCTGCAGTAGCTTGAAGATCATGTTACTGCAGAAAAAACTTGTCAGCAAATCCTCCGTTGCAGAAGATGGCCAGAACGAAACGGCTTTGCGAGCGAGCGGGGTGGTTGCCTACATAGGAGGGAGCAAAACGCGGCGACCGCCGCCACCACGACCAGTCATATTGGAATATTTCGTAAAAGAATGTAGATAGGGTATAGACGAGCAGTGTGCGACTGGAAAACCGGTGCGAATGGACGGTATGCGGGGATTGGCGCGTCAATGTCGATGGGCACGAGACGGGAGTGGTTCGCAGCTCAGGTCCGAATTGGTGGTTTTGGCGTTGAGCTTCGAGGCCGAAATTTTAGTGGAGATTTATTTATCCGGCCTTCGCCCGCAACACGTCCAGACCAACATCCCAAAATACAACTAGCTTTAAGAAGTCCTGCCTTGTATTGCTTAATTCATGATGATTTCAAAATGATATCTTGTATTTAGTGTTATGTATGCGTAAGTAATCGACTCCCGTACTAGGGAAGAAATTGCAAGCGTCCAATCAAGTCGTGACGGTGTCACAAGGGGGTTCAAGCGAGATACATTTGCAAATATAATATTTATTCATTTCTTTCTAGAAGTCTATGGATAATTCCTGATGGAATTGACAGGCTGCGGAGAAAGTTGCAATGCGTTGGGGGCGCATCTGCTTCAAATCCCGCACACGCTCTACAGTATCGAGGGTATGGGGGGCAGCCTGAATTATCCCGAGTGTGGTTCGAAAGTCGTTCAATCGTGGGCACATTCAATTTCTGTCAAGCTTGGTTAGCTTTAACTCCTTGTGTGACCGCAAAAAAAGAAGGTTCAAAATCCATCGATGATCAGAGAAAAGGGCGAAACCAATTGCCCATGGTATATCTACATCGTATATTCGGTACGGCGAGTGAAAACCATTTCATCAGGGGATGGCAGCATGAAGCTGATATTTCATACCAGCGCAACAGGGAAAAGGGAAGGCGTGCCTACCATTCGTCAACTGCACAGGGCGGTGTCGTTAAGATATTGCCGTGTGATCATAACAGCATAATAAAGGACCCGATGAAAATCAGACGAGGTGGAGCCGAAAACAGCTTACCCCTTGGCAAGCTCCCGCGTTGCGGCCACCATCGTGTTGGCCTTTATTAAAGGCGGATCATCTTTCAAGACGGATCATGATAACCGTGAGAAGCTGTGAAGAAGAACAAAATCGAGAAATGTGCATCGCTGCCAGAAGGCTTTATAAATTCGGCAAGGCGCAGGGATATGCAGGCAAATTGGTTTGTGAGTCACAGTTTCAATACTCAGTATCTGGCAGGCTGCGTCACCTGCGTGCTAGGACTAGTTGGGCTCGCCGGTGAAGCAAAATTTCCAGCCTCATTTCTTGGATGGTTGCGCGAGCGTAACAAGATCGCGTAAGTAACTATCTACACGCACTTTCCTGCGTAATTTCCTGAGAAGTCCGCAGACTTGTCAGTGAACGTCTAGAAACAGGGCTTGAGCTGAAAAATTTCCTCCGATGTTACCAGCACGCCACGGGCTAGACCCGGGCACGCCCCGGAGATGAATGCCGCGTATATTGCAACGTAGTTATAACTTTCTCTTCTTAGATCCAGTCGCCCGGCCTCGAAGCCGTAAGCCGTTAAAAAGGTACAGTAGCAAGAGAAAAAAAAAAGCTTTTCAGATCATATGCCACTGTCAAAGTTGTTATTACGGTGGGTATCTCATACGAGTAATGGTGCCCGCCCCCTTGCCCACCACGCATAAGCCGGTTTATTGCCCGTCGGCCGCGGGAAGAAAGGGTAAAAAAAAAGGCTGCGGCAAAAAAACGATCGGCCGAAGCTGCCCGTGGCCAGCCAGCCACCCACGTTGTAGCCGGTCCCACGCTGAGCCGCATTGTCAAGAAAGGCGGCGGCGTTGTTGATGAAGGGAAATGGCCAGTTGAAACGCCAGGAGACGGGTTCATGCAAGGCACGGGCCAGGGGTGTATGTCTTGGAATATGCGCAGTTATATCCACCGGGTGAGTGTTGCGTGCTACTGATGATTTTCGATGTGCTTTTTCCTGCTTCTGCAATGTCGCCATCGCTGGCCCGGCTTCGCGGTGGTGGTCTGGCGCGGAGGTCCGCGGGACGGCCGCGGCGGCAGCCCGGCATCAGGCTCCAGTTGCTGCGAAGGTTTTGCAGGAAGTTTGAGGCGTAAATGGCTGAAAGCTGTCATTCGGCACGCTGAGCCTAATTTAACAAAGCCCATCAATCACTTCTACCGCCGGTGAGTACAACAGAACTTGTGTTAGTTGCACCTTGCCTTTGGAGGTCAACATGGTCGCGATGGCGCATTACAGGCGCTTTTCCTTTGGAGGTGACTCGGCCGCAGTGGCTGCATTGAATGAAGGCTGTCCTTTGGCGCCAGAACCAATAATTTTACCACCCCGGTACATCATGTCTACTGCCGGCGAGTACACGAGAACTTGTGTTAGGCGCGCCTTACCTTTAACATGGCCGCGATGGCGGATTATACGCGCCTTTCCTTTGGAGGTGACTTCACCGCAGTGGCTGCATTAGAGGTGTTTTTAGCGCAAAAGACGGAGGGCATGCGACACAGACTTGTTTTTTTCTGACAGTTCTTGCGCAAATTGATTCCTCTGGCAGTATGGTTTATACACAAAGGATTCAAAGCCAATACTGTAAGTTGGTACAGGCAGTGGTCGTGGGAGTGAGCGTAGCAAGGCTTGTACTGGTACCTGACAGCAATTGTAGTCATTTGCAGGTTTGAGTTGCTTGGTTGCCTGGATGTATATATAGAATGAGCTGATTTGACCATTCAGAAACGTAAACAATGGGACATTGTTGAAGATGTGAGAGCACCGCAACGGTGCGTGATTCCACCAGGCGGGTACAGAACCGCAGTGGAGTCGAGGCAGGCCATGCCGTGTAAGGGTAGAAAAAGGAGAAGAGTCGAGAAGCACTTTGGCATTGCCGATTTGGGAAATATGCGAGAGTAGACGGCGTAGTGCTACTCCGGATTACGCCGGGGCCCGTGTAAGTGCTGATTTGGCGGTTGTGATTGTGATTGTGACTGTGGTCGATGTTGCGGCCGTCTAGGTGGGAGTTGGGAATATACACGGTGCGCATGTGTGGTTCAAAAATGCAAGGAAGGGATGGAAGCAGACACACCGCTACAAATATGTAACAACGAGGCTTGGTCGGCTTTGTTATTAAAAACGCCCCTTGGGCAGCGGCACATGACGGGCCGAAGGTGACCTGTTGTAAGGCGCAGCGCATCGACGCAGTTCGTTGCCAACCCGAGGCAAGAGATTCCTCTTTTGCCGGCCGCGGGCAGCCTCTCTCGGCTCGATCGTGGTGCGGCCGAGCCCGGATTGACCACGAGAGCCCGCGTTCAGCCACCTTTTTCTCAGGCCCTCCTTTTTTTGTGTTTGTGACTGGAAAATTGACAAGCCACACCACGAATCGGTTGGATCCGAGAGGCAGTCGACCACACCTACCAGGACCAGCCTAGCCTAAAACCTTGCCGAGTAACTAGCCTGCGTGCGCCTTGCAGACGACAGGCAGCGATCCACCAGTTACACGGCGACAATGGTAGCAACACATAGCAGAGCCCGATGTCGGCAGATTTTGGCTTCCGTTTTGTCAGGGTCTGAGGCGCTCATCATGACAGCCGATGAGTCAAAAAAAGTGTGTCCATCCCCATGGGGATGACATAGTGCGTGCTCGCAAAGGGCGCGGGGGGAGAGAATAGTAGTAAGCGGCCTCCTCGGGCAAGACGCTTGGAGCATGCATGAGACGGAATTACTCCCCTACCTGCTATTTAGTACCGTTTGCACGGAATCCGGCGGGACGGAGGAGCCAAGTCGATGGAGCTGAGCGTTCTAGCCATTTAAATGGATCACATGTGGACATTGACATGACATTTGTTGCTGAAACGGCCCGTGTATAATAAATCACACCGTCTGTACGAGATACATATTTGGTAGGATGGTGCTTGACGAACATCATGTCGAGTTTGCATTGGGCGGCACTTGGAACGGCTGGAGCGGCACATCGGGACCTGGCAGCGAGATGAAAGACGGCACGCAAAGGAACGAGGGCAAAAACCGGGAATACCGTACGAAGTATCGGGCAGATCGCTGACGGGCTGTGCATGAGCCTGTAGCCAGGCAGCACGCCAGAATGAGCAGATCTTTCTTCTCCCTGCAGTTTTTTAGAGGCAAGGTAGCAATGATGCACCGCTAGAGCATACCAGTTGCCCGTAGCGCGCCTACGCAAAACACCATCGTGATGAGAGGTAACGTGAAAAAAAAAGTCTTGCAATCCAGTAAATAGTGTCCGATGGGGACTGCAATAGCGGAGATACTCGATCCATTTCATACGACCCTGACCCAAATCGAGAACAATTTTTTCCGGGCGCGTGGTGTGCGCTGCGGGACAGGCGAAAGGGGGGTGAGCCTAGTGGGAAATCAGGTACTTGAACGACGTCCGCCAGGCAGAGGGAATGAGTGAGCGCTGGAAGCACAGGTGGTCAGGGCCTGCTAAACTCAACGACGTCGCCTGGAATGCGGAAGGTAACAGGGGACCAAGGGGCCGGTCACAGGGTGTTTTCCACACCCTCTCTTGGGCGGCTCCAGCAGAGAAGTTTTTTTTTTTACTGGATCCAGTTGATGGTCTGGGTCAGAAACAAACCGCTGCGTGATGCATTGCATCGTGCTGTCTATAATAAACGTGCGCAGAAAATTTTCTTGTACTGGCCCACTGCCGGAATCGTAAGAAAACAGGCGAGGGGCGTGCTACGAGTCGGTGAACTCTATACCGTTACCAGTATATTGGCTATGCATTGCAAGTCAAGGTGCCTGACATCCAGTCGTGGCGAGTAATCACCCTCTTTTTGGTTACCGTGTGCGTGCCGTCCGTGTCTTTTTTTAGGTGGTGACATTGCTAGCCGGCTTTCGCTCTCCTGCCCCGTTCCGTCCATGGCATTCGGCGAGACTGTGCTTTCTTGTTGTCTCGACAGTCGCCGACCTAAAACATTTCACCGCCGCTTAAAACGAAGCACGGGAAATGCTAGAGCAGCGCAGAGCCGGGACAAGAAATGAAAGAGTTGCAGTTCGTCGCATCGGTTAAACATGCCCAGCCAGCCTTGGCCTTGCTGCTGGCAGGGCGTCGGAGGCAGAGACCCGCAGCTCCGGAGCGTCGATTGAGTACAGGTGGGGCGACTGTCCGGCGAGAGCGTGAGGCGACCCGGACGCAGAGTACTTGCACCTGGGCGCGGCACTAGGAAGTTGCTGCGCACCGTGTGATTACATGAGGAGCAGTAAATAATAATCGAAAACGGCGAGTCGAATGTCATTTCACCGTGAAGCTGAACATCATAGTTTCGAAAATCACCAGACATGGCGCTTGGCTTTGTAATACCAAAATTGTGTCATTTCGAACCTAGGCGCCTGGCAGCATTTCTAAGCACCATCTTTCCAAGCACCAACAGCCACAACCGAAACGGTAGCAGCCATGACGTGCTGCGGCCGACTGCGCACGCCTGGTCTTTGGTGCCCGCTGGAGATGACAAAACCTTGCTGCGTGGCCCCCGCGCTAGAAGCAAGCCACGGGTAGCGGTGGCCAGGCAGGTGTAACCGTCTTGGTACAGATTCACGAAACATGCTTTGCACCCTGCCGTTCTGGCACCCAGTCATATGACGGACGCCGTGGCTCACGTTCGCAAGCCGCGGCTGATGGTCGAAACGGTCGAGACGACAAGCCAAAGGGCGCATGGCGTTATTGGCAGTCGTTGCGAGCCTTGGCTGTGTGGATGCACGCTACAGGTCGTGAACCGATGAGCACTGATCAGGATGATGATGAATCAAGTCTTAGAAATTATGATTCGGATTGGGTATGTAAGTAGGGAGGATTTGGTTTCGGTGTCTAAGTGTATAGCCGCTGTCATTCGTGCATGCAGAGTGCATCAATCGGTAGCACAAGCGACAGGAAGCTCTTTTTCGTTTTCTTTTCTTTTCTTTTCTTTTCTTTTCTTTTCTTTTCTTTTCTTTTCTTTTCTTTTCTTTTCTTTTCTTTTCTTTTCTTTTCTTCTTTCTTTTCTTTTCTTTTCTTTTCTTTTCTTTTCTTTTTCTTTTTTTCCTTTTTCTTTTTCTTTACAACTACGAATCGCCAGCTGGCAAATCGGCAACTAGCAAACGACTTGGCACCTGGCAACTGGCTAATAACTGGTTCGGTTGACTGGCAGCTGCCAACCGCCTATTAACAAAAGCCAGGGCGCACACGGCTCCACTGCCGACAAGTACAGTGTCCACTGTCAAAGTCTACCACCAACAACTTTCAGCGCCGCAAGCCAGCCCGGGGCGTGCGATTTGGTCTCCCGTTTGCTGGAGGGGTGTAAAGTCAGGAGGTACCTTGAACTTGGCCCCATCGCCTGGCCCATCCATGTACATGTTTTATGGGCCCTTCATCGGCCGTGGACGGCGTCTGGCCCGCGAACCAAAAAAAGTGAAGCCAAGTCGAGTCTACCAATACAAGTTATAGGTACCACCGTACTCGGCCCTCGCCCCAAATGACACATACCTTTTCATACATCTTTCATTCCCCCGGTATAATACTCCTTGATACCCTCTTCCCCGTCTTCCTTTCCTTTACATATCTCTCTCACGTCTCATTGATAACCATTGCCCGTTTCTACCCCAGACTTGCTACTGGCTCTACCCGTTACACCACCTGCATCACCTAGCATCACATCTGCTGCAGCCCTGCATCATCCTGCCATATATCTAATACTTGCCTGGTACTGCACGGTCATCGCCGGACAACTTCATACACTCGGTCATCGCCGCGAGCCTCTTAATCAACTCTTACACCACCCGATCTCTGACGGAATCTGCGTCTACACGGCTACACGGCATCGTACACACCTGCCCTTGGCACTAAAACAAGCCTTGCAGCAACCTGCGCTTCTCATCACGCATTAAGCTCGGCGTTCGCCCTCCGTTACTCGACCTCGACCAATCGTCCTACAGTGGCGTTCTGCACGCCAATCCTGATACTACACTTCTCCTCGCAGGCAATAAAAGCTTTACTTGGACCACCATAAGCTTGTTTCTTGCACCTCCGACAAGCGGCCACCACCAACACCACAGACAACCCCGGTTCACCCTTGCAGCCACGATTTCTCTGCCATAGCAAGGCCAAGTCGTGTGCCCCTCCTCCTGTCAACACCAAGGCTACTTACAAGGAGGGGTACGCTGGGCTTTTTCAAGCTTTCTCCGTGTCGTCTGCTTCTGTCGACACTGATATCCGAAATACCAGAACGCAACCTGCTTGCGCAACCATCACCGCACCACTTACACCACTAACAACACCGCTGCGCTTGAGCGCACCGACATCGACATGCCTCACCTCGTCGCCAACTTCCTGCGGTCCTCGACCGGCAACATTTCACAGATCAAGAATGCCGCCCGCTCACGCACCGCCTCCCGCAATGCCTCGTGCGAGTCGTCCAGGAACAACTCCATCTCTGGCAGCCCCTACGATTCCGACACCGAAGACACCTCCAAGACCCACGATTTACTCGAGGCCGTTAAGAAGCACCACAAACTCTCACTTCACTTTGGTCGGTCCTCTAGCTCCCCGGTGCGCGAGCTGAATCCGGCCTCCTGCAGCGTAGCCGCCGTTGACTGGAACATTGAGAGCCCGCCAATCATCTTCCACGGCACCCGCGAGGACAGCACCGGCGCCATTGTCTCTGGCCAGATCTTCCTCGACATCAAGGAGGACACTGTCGATATTGACAGCTTTAAAGCAAATCTCAGCATCCACACCACATACAAGCGCCCATGCCAGGGCCACTGCGCGGAATGCCAAAACCAGGTCACCGAGCTACAAGCCTGGGTCTTTCTCGACCATACTACCAAACTGCATCGCGGCCGGCACGCGTTTCCCTTCTCTGCACTACTGAGTGGCGAGCTGCCCGCGAGTACCAACACCCCTCTCGTCTCTATCGCCTACGAATTCAAGGCCGTCGCGCAAGTCTCGCGCCACGCCACCGGTACCAGCACGCCGATTCAGCTCAAGTTTGACCGCACGCTGCTGGTCAAGCGCTCCGTTCCCGAGCCGCTCTTCCCGCACCACTCGGTCCGCGTTTTCCCGCCGACTAACATCAAGGCCAGCGCTGACTACGCCTCGGTCGTTCACCCGACCAGCACCAACAAGCTGACGCTCAAGCTCGACGGGCTCATGACGCACAACGAAAAGGTCAAGACGGTCGACCTGTGGAAGCTCAAGAAGGTGACGTGGAAGCTCGAGGAGACGATCAAGACGGTCGCGCCGGCCTGCGACAAGCACGCGGCCAGCGCCAGCACCATCGGGGAGGTCCGCGGCACCGTGCGCAACGAGGTGCGCGTGATTGGAGAGAAGCAGCTGCACGAGGGCTGGAAGTCGGACTACTCGGGCCACGACGGCTCCGTCGACATGGAGCTCGACTACAGCATCAACCAGGCGCGCAACAGCGCGGGCGAGCTCAAGTACGCGTGCGACACCAAGACGGCCGACAGCACCGAGGTCTCGCACTCGCTGCTGCTCGAGCTCATCGTCTCCAAGGAGTATGCACCCGAGGGCAGGGCCCACCAGGCCACGCCGACCGGCACCGGCCGCATCCTGCGCATGCATTTCGCTGTCGTTCTCACCGAGCATTCAGGTCTCGGCGTCAGCTGGGACAACGAGGCGCCGCCCATCTACGAGGATGTGCCGCCCAGCCCACCGGCCTACCCGCTCGAGTCGCCCATCGACTACCAAGATCTGGAACCGCTTTACGCGCGTCCTTCGAGCATTGACGCCTCGGCGGATGATGTCCCGTCACCTTAGCTGCGTGTCATGATTTTTTTCCATTTTGGATTTATACAGCGGTTTAATTTTGTCTATTTTTTACAATATACCCTAGCAGCGAACAACGGCACTGCATCGGAAGGACTTTGGGCTACTGCATCTTTTCATCTAATCTACGAAGACATACGAAGCATGATAGGAATGGTTTTTGGAGATGTGCTGATACAAGGGCTACGACCCGCCAATATTTACAACCAATACATTTTTATAATTTCCGCAACACAATGCTTTCCATGTGAATATGCAATCTTTCTCATAAACTTATGTACATTCATTTCATTGACCGGTGTGCCACCGTCTACGTCGTCACGGCCGGCGCGCCCCAGTAGTAGGTGAAGATGTCGACGCCCATGTACTCGTCCTTGTACGCCTTTGACGGGCCGTCCTCACCCCTCGCCGCGCCCGCGCACACCAGCAGCGGCATGAAGTGCTCCCCGCCCCCCGGCGGGTGCATCATGTCCGCGTGCGGCAGCTCCCTCCACCTCGCCACCCCCTCCGTCGCGTTCGCCTCCCCGACCGCCCCCGTCAGCGCCTCGTTCCACTCCTCCGTCTTTTGCCGAAACGCCAACCACGCCGGGTCTACCGAGCCGCCGGAAAACCCGCGCAGCCCCCGCATGATGCCGAGGTTGTGGAACGAGGCGAAGCCGGACCCGACAACGGCCACGTTGTCCTCGCGCAGCGCGGCGAGCGCGCGGCCCATGGCCAGGTGCCGCGCGGGGTCCTCGTCGGCGAGCACGGAGACCTGCACGATGGGGATGTCCGCGGCGGGCAGGGCGAGCGCGAGCGGCACGAAGACGCCGTGGTCCCAGCCGCGGCGGGTGTCGAGGGTGGGGGAGAGGCCCTGGGCGGACATGGCGGCGGCGACGCGGGCGGCGAGGTCGGGGGCGCCGGGGGCGGGGTAGGTGATGGAGTAGGACTCCGGCGGGAAGCCGTAGTAGTCGTAGAGGAGTTGGGGGGAGGCGCCGGCGGAGATGACGGGGTCGGGGGTGGTCCAGTGCGCGGTGACGAGGATGATGGCGCGTGGGCGGTGGGCGGGCGAGGAGAGGCGCAGGATCTCGGGGACGCGGTTCCGGAGGGAGGCGATGATGGACTTGTGGCCGGGGTCGTTGAGCAGAGGCATAGGACCTGGAGGGGTGGGGTGGGTGAGTTAGTTGGTGACGAGGTCGTTTGTGGTGGTGATGAGGTTCGGAATGGGGGTTTCCGGGTTCCTTACCTCCGCCGTGGGACAGCGCGATGACGGGGCCGACTGGCATCTTGGGCGCGGCGGCTCGGAAAAGATGCAGCGCAAAGGGGATGAGCAGGGCGAGAGCGATCCACAGAAGATCCATCTACTTCATCGTGGGAAAAAGAGGGAAAGGCGAGTGGGAGAGTTGGGCCAGGTGAGAGGGCCGACTTATATGCAGGTAAGTTGTGGCGTGGTGCGTTTGGAAAAAAGTGGGATGCGAGGAATCGGCGACGGAGTGGGAGAGTGAAGAAAAGGACGGAAACAGCGCTTATCAATCAACGCTTTCGGAGCCGTAAAGCAGAGCCGCGCGGGGTGATGAGTCCGGAGCGGAGGGGGCGGGGATGGAAGTGGGGTAATTCCTTCGTTCTTTTTTTAAGGATTTTTAAGGAATTAGCAATTGTTAATAATGCAATTCGCTGAGAAGGCGGCCGTCGTTTCCGGCCAGGCTGGGAGGATCAGGCACCATCGGTTGGTGACTTGGCAGGGGCCAAATCGATCGACGAAATGGTCGAAAATTACGCAACAGCAGGGGAGAGAACGTAGACTTGCTTGGACTAGGATTCTAGAGTGGGAAAATATACAATGAGGTCTTTGTGTTGATGTAGATTCGTCTCCCACGGGAAGCGTACTCTGGCCTCGATGCCTGAGGGCATAACTAATGCATAGATTTGATTGTCCGAGGTGTTGAATACATGATGTTCGCCACAACGGCCGAAACAGATGCAAAATCAAGGCAGAAAATTAAAACAATAATTGCTCTTAATATTCAAGAGAATCCATATCGATTTAATTCATTTTGTGACTTAGACGAGCTGGTTTCGCCAGGGATACAAACTCACTTACACTTACACTCAAGCTCAAGCCTCCACTGTGGTCGGCGTGACTAATTTCTGCGCAAACATTTTGTTCTGCAGTACCAAGTCAACCTCACGAGGCACAAAACCGGACCCTGACTCAACCCATCACTCACCACAGGCCGTTAAATGAAGGCGCATCTCCCACCATCTGCCGCCTTGAAACCATTGAAGCTGACTTCAAAAAATCACATCCGATACATCGCAAGTGGCCGGTACGCTTCCCTCATCGTCGCGCAGCGCCTATACACCACTGTTCGCCAGCACAAACAGACGCCTCATCCCCACCGCGCCGGGATGGCCAACGAGCTGGCAGCCGGCGCCGCTGCGATGGATATTCAAGATCAGATCCTGCACAAGGCCGATAGCCAGGCAGGTAGAGCCGGAGGAGGAGGAGGAGGAGGAGGTGGGCGAAAAGCCCGTGGGGGGCGAAGCGGCGGCAGGTCCAGCGACGTCTCGCGCGCGCTGTCACGACTCCTCCGGCACCAGGCCGAGAACGCAGGCATCAAGCTCGACAGCGAGGGATACGCCCCTCTCGACAAAGTGGTAGGCCATACATTCATGAGCACACCCCCGACGCGTGGGCTAATCACCTCCAGCTGGAATGGGGCCCTCTCAAGTCACTCAGCGTCACGCTCGCCGACGTGCAGGACGTCGTCGCCACCAACGAGAAGAAGCGCTTCTCCTTGAAGCCCAAGTCCGCCGACGTTGCCGGGTCCTGGGCCGGCGACTACCTCATCCGCGCCAACCAGGGCCACTCCATCAAGCTCGAGTCGTCGTCGCTGCTGGAGCCGCTGACGCTCGAGGCCGGCAACGTGCCGCCGCGCGTCGTCCACGGCACCTACTATGCCTTCTGGGAGCCCATCGTCGAGGCCGGCGGCCTGCGGCCCATGAGCCGCAACCACGTGCACTGCGCCGCCGGCACGCCCGACGAGGGCGTGGTGAGCGGCATGCGGCGCGACGCGCAGCTGCTCATCGAGATTGACGTGGCGGCGAGCCTGGCGGCGGGCGTCAAGTGGTGGCGGAGTGATAACGGGGTGATCCTGACGGAGGGCGACGCGGATGGGCTGGTGGGAGTTGAGTTCTTCAAGAGGGTCGAGGGCAGGGGCCAGGACGTGGGCGTGCTCTGGGAGGACGGCGTGAGGGTCGCGGACATTCCGCCGGGGGTGAAGAGGACGGTGCCGAACGGCAAGGGCCCGAGGGGAGGAGGACGAGGTGGAGGGAGGGGTGGGGGGGTGTAGCTTGACCTTGAGCCATCGCATGTATCGCACATATATCTATAGCGTTATGATGACTTGGGGACGCTACAATACATAAGACATGCATTTTCCATCAGCCATAGCACAGTCATAAATATAAAGCATAGATTCAACCAGTCTGAGTTTTTCATGACAGCATGTTCAGTACATACAATCATCAATTCGCCCAGTCTAAACATCATTTATGCTGGAACAAATACCTTCAGTCATGAAAATTTTGTCAACTTCCCAACACCAACAAACCCCCCTTCTCGTTCTCCTGTCTATCTCGTTCTTTTATTTCTCCTTTTCACGACAGCATGCCGTCGACCAGCTTCTGCCTCCTCGCCTTCTCCTTCTCCATCCACGCCAGGACCTGCTCCGCGATGTGGATGCGCGCCTGCCTCTTGCCCAGGACGCCGCGCGCCACCGCGACGCCCTCGGGCACGCGCGAGCCCGCCGAGAACTCGGCGTGCCCGCTGAAGAAGCTGGGCCGGTCCGCGTCCTGCGTCAGGCGGTACTGCGGCTGCGACACGCCCAGGTGCGCGCACAGCCGGGCGATGGCGCCGAACAGCCGACTCTGCTCGGCGGCGGCCTCGGCGCCCCGGCCCTGGGGGGACGCGAAGGGAACCGGGGTATCCGCCGCCGCGTCCGGGGCTGCGGGGGAGGAACTGCGGTGGCGTTGATTGCGGTCCGTCTTGAGGGGGGAGGACCGACGGGTGGGTTCGGGAGTGGTTGGCGAGTCGAGGGGCCGTTTGAGCCGCGGGGATGAAGGCGCAGCGGTGCTGATGGTGGTGGTGATGGTGCCTTGGGACGTGCTGGGAGGAGGTGGCGTGGGAGGGGTGGATGGTGGTGATGGCTGAGGGTGCAGCGGCGAGGGCGACGATGCGACAGGTATAGGCTCAAATGGCGGAAGATGTGACGCCACCTGCTTCGGAGCATGCTGAGCCGGAGAGGGCTGAACCATGATGGCTACAGGCTCCGTCGGAGCCGGTTGAGTCAGCGGAGTTTGCTGCTGCTGCTGCTGCTCCGCCTGCTGTGTGGGTTGCTGCTCCGGTGGGAGCTGCTTCTCCTGCTGCTCCTCCTGCTTCGGTGGCGGAAGAGGAGGAGTTTCGCGCGGCGCGGTGCGCGAAGTCGCAACATCCTTTGTCACGCTATCGAGGTAGGCTACGGCAAGCATGGCGGCGTACTGCTTTGCATCCTGCTCGAAGTTTTGCAACTCACATCAGCCAAAAACCGGCAAGCGGCGGGACGGAGGGGGGCCGAGCATACCTTTTTGTTGGTGAACAGCGCCGGAGGCTCCTTGCCTTGCTCGGCATCGCCGCTCGGGGGAGGGAAGCGCCGGGCGCACCAGGGCAGCACGCACGCGCAGTGCCAGCGCAGCTGGAAGGCGCCGCGGAAGGGCACCTCGATCGGGTCGCTCATCTCGAAAGTCGGGGCTGCGCCGAGGCGGCGCGCCTGCGAGAGGCCTGCGCCGGCATCATCGTTAGCCACGACGGATTCCGGGTCGCGCGATGAGGACATACGCATGAGCTTGCTGACGTGGTCCTGCCTGGACACGTCCGGCTCGTCGCTGCCGCAGAAGCTGGCGAGCTGGGAGAGGGCGAGCAGCTGCGAGGGCGTGACGTGCGCCGTGGAGCCGCCGGTGGCGGCCTGCGTGGCCTCGGCCTGGTCGAGCCAGGCGCGGACGCCGGCCCACGGCACGGGGACGAGCGGGGACAGGCCGGGGGTTTGGACGATGGGGGCCATGTCTGTTCTTGTAAGAAAGGTATTGAATAAGATGGAGAAGAAACAGAACAAGAAGAAGAGATGAGAGTGGAAAAGGAGACTGAAGAAGAAAAAAAAAAAAAAAAAAAAAAA